AGCCCGTGTGTAGTACTTTAAGAGGTCATTCCTCTCACATTAGAGTGCTGATAGTGAAAAAGTGCTATCATTGAATGAAAATAGCAAGTACTAGAGAAACCTTTAATGTTTAATGTAACATTAAAGGTATATCAAGAAGCAGTGGTTTGAAGCTGAAGTCAAGCTAATTTAAATGAGAAAGTAGGCTTGAGATTTTAAGTGTAAGGCTAAGTAACTGAACAACAAATTACCAACGGAGGAAACATTTTCCTTGTTGTCTGCAGATGAAGAGCTGTAGCCCCAGAAGACAACAGAAAGGTGTGTGAATGCAGCAGCAAGGCTTTTGGCTGCCTTTAAGCTGTGCTTCGTGTTTCTTTTGGTGGATACAGGACATACTTATAACACAGTGTCCTGCACTGATGACCCAGGCCCCTCTCAGTTGGGTTGTGCTTTTACCATCTGAGAGCAGACCTTCTAGATCTCAGTCGATGGCACATGGTAAATACATCTTGAATTATTAGATCCTGTTGTTCTGGAGAAGGTTGTTCTCCTACTTGAAAAGGGTGTGGATGACATATTTTCTAGGTGCATTTTCCAGTTTTCCTGCATGCCAGAGGCTGGGCCTGTAGACATGCAATCATGGAAAGATTCCACTGCATGCAAAACTGCAGTGGGGAATCTGCAATCACTGTGTGCACTTGGTAGTGTGTTTGATACAGGCTGTATTCAAAATAAGCATTGCTCAGTGCTCCAGTTTAACCCTCACTGACATTTATTCCCCTCTCAGAAACAGCCACATCTCTCCCCACTATTTTCATTTTGCAGGATTAAGCAAACTAGGCTTCCAGGCTTCTTTCTAAACCTTTCTAATCCCTTATCGGAGAAACCCTTTAATTCTTGTTTGCTTTGTATGAATCTTTCCTGAGCACTGTTTACCAGTGCATACAGGGTGCAGATGAGACCTCATCAATGCTTTCCCATTGCATTAATGCTTCCTGGATTCCACCATTCAGGTTATGGATAAAATATTGCTAAATGCAATTGACCAGTGCAAGAGATCTTTCATAAGGTGGACAAAAGCAGTTTTCCCCTTGCAAATACCAGAGCTCCAGTGCCTGTTGCCTTCAGACAACTTAGTGAGTCTCTGATTGCTTGAATTGTTTTTTGCCTCTTTTTCAAATATGAGTATTACATTTGGATTTGATTTTGTTTATTTTTCTTCATCCTGCCATCTTTCCTGCTTTGTCACATTCCTACAAAGCCCTCACTGAGAGATCTGCAGATCCACATGCCAGCTCTCAGCAGCATTTCTGAGCAGGGATTACTTTGGCCCCCAGTTTGATTGCTTTAATTCTCTCCTCTGTTCATCCACAGATGTACTCAAATTTCCATTCAAATATATCCTGTTAGGCATGGAAAAAGAAATCCCGTGTTGAATATCATCTTCATTAAACCTAAAGCAGAATGTTTACCTGGTCTAACTATTATATCTTTCTACGATGGATGGATAGATAGGCAGTGATAATCTTGAGCTCTAATGCTTCCCTAGTGCCTCACTCTAAGACATTCCTGTATCTTCATTTTTTTTTAATCGTCTCCTCTATGTAGCCCTCTGGTTGTTGCTAACTCTCTTTTTAATATTAAACTGCTAAACTGAACAACTAATATTTGTGTGTTTATGTCTCAACCTCTGTACTTGTCGAACTCTCGTTTTGCGCTTTGAGTGCGTCATTTTGATCTCAAACCACTAGGAGGAAGCATTCAACAAGTTTCACTGCTCAGGTGCAGATCTCACTTTTGCTGCTGATTCTATGATTGTTCCGAGAAGGAGCCCGGGAGTCTGCTGGGTCACGCTTCTCTTTAAAGTGTGGAGGCGCAGAATCTCTTGAAGAAATGCACAACTATTCACCTTTTCAAGCCGGCTCCACTGCTTCTGATGCAGCATGTTTTCATAGCCCCATCCTCAGAGCAGAAGATACTTCTAATATCCACGGTAATTTCCTTCCTGGCTATTCCATGTCTTTTGAATACCTTTCTCACTTGCATGTATTTTCCCACTGCTTTATGTACTGAGGGTTACAGCACATCCTCTCTGCTGTTACTTCTAAGCTGAACATTGAATGTCTTTTCATAGCAGAGAATGCTGTTTGGTATTGCTTCTCTGCGTTTAATCCAGTTTTAATTTACAGTTGTTGAATTGCAGAGGCCTCTGGCAATTGGGAGGAAGGACCTCTGTTTTAAAGTGCAGTGCAGCTCCACTGATTTCCCCAAGTGGCTGAGAATCACTGAACTTGAGTGATCAATATGATCCCATTATGATAATATTCTCAGTTGTAAAGTCACTACAGATCCTAACTTTAATGAAAAAGAAAGTACCTTTTTTTTTTTTTTTTGTCAGTTACATACAGTTCTTCCTTGTGTTGTTTTTTCCTCTAACTCCTCTTCTCTACAGAAAAGCTATGGATGTCCCATCCCTGGAGGTGCACAGTGCCAGGCAGGATGGGGCCCTGGGCAGCCTGGCATGGTGGGGGGCAACCAGCCCATAGCAGAAGGTTGGAACTGAATAGGTCTTTTCCAACGTGGAGCCATTCTATGATCTAGGAATGGGGTGCAAGTACTCAAGACCCTTCCATTACTATTTATATAATTACTGTATTGACATCAGTAGGATCCAAATTTAAGAGTGGTCAGGGGAGAACCAGAAGGATTTAAGAGCATACCAAGAAGACTGCCTTCCCCAAAATGATGCCGCTCTTACTCAGAAGGGCTTCTGCACAAAGCAATATTTACCTTACACTGTCAATTCTTTGATAAACAAATCTCTGAGGGCACCAAATTATATTTTGCATGGCAACAAACTGTAGCAAAATACTGGTGGCAAGGTTCAACCTCTGCTGCCATATCCGACTCTGATGCCATGGGTCAACGTCATAAAACAGGAGGCATTACTTTCAGAGCAACCCTAGTATTAATCAAAAATGCCCCTTCCTGGCAAAGACAAATTCTGCTTCCTATGTCCAGGCTGGATGTGGCTCTGGGCAGCCTGGTCTGGTGGTTGGCAACCCTGCCCATAGCAGGTGATTGAAACTAGATGAACATTGTGGTCCTTTTCAACCCAGGCCATTCTATGATTCTGTGATTCCCTCTGGGTATGTGATTATTTGAATACATAACATGATGCAATACCAGAACTGTTCAACACACACCCAAATCAATGGAAACAGAGCATGTGGCTCATTTCTGCTTCTGAATGGACCGTGCACAATGTGGGTAGCAGATATCTGGCAGAGTGGGGCAGGGAAATACAATCCCACAAAGCAATGTCTTCAGCTCCAAAATTGTGGTCAATCACAACGAAGTAGGTGTGTTTAAAAAAAATCACAACAAAAACATTTAATTTTATTAATTATTTTAATCATTTAATTTTTACTTATTAATCCTATTTTTTGGGGGGGGGAAGGAATAGAGTCTCCTTGGGTCCAATGGCACAGAGCTGTTGTCTTCTCTCATACAAAGCAAGTCCACTGTGCACCTATTTTAAAATTTGAGGAATTTAGTCAGAACTTCTTGAAAGTGCTATGAAGCCAGGAGAAAGCAGGGGAAACTTAGGGAATACCACAAAATAGATTAAAATTAAAAGGTATTATAAATATTATTTATTAGCAATCAGTGTTCAGACAGCCTTAACTATAAACAATTGTTAAGATATATTCTACCATCTATAATAAAAAGAAATTTCTGTCCAAAGAGCTCACAATCTGAAGAGGTGAAGAAGATGGGAGAAAAGGGAGAGGACACAAGACAGGCCATCTAACTGCCATGTAGGCAAGGGGTGCTGAAGAGCATAACCAGCTTGCTGCAGGTCACAAATGGAGTGTACAGCAGATCCCAGCCATCTGCAAAACCCAGTTTTCTTTCTGGCTGGAGGAAAGCTCATCTGAGCCTTGACAAATCTTTCAAATCCAACTGTACAGCTACAACTCAGTAACTAGGAGAAACACAAAACATATTCTGCTGACTTGCATGTAGCATGCTTGAAATTCAAATGAGAAATAAAACATCAAGGGTAATTTATGACTTAGCTACATGACAAAGGATAACACAACAGCCGTTAGCAAAGTGCATGAGCTTAAAGCATCTATAAAGTACGTGTGCCAAGGACAAAAGACCACGTATTGTTTGCTCATGTGCTTCTCTGCAAATCCAAGCCTGTAAGGACACAACAGGGATTAAAACCTTTGCAAGGAAAATGTGGTGAAGATCACGAGAGATCACCTGCACACATTCATAAGAAGCAGCATCTGTGACAACATCCATAGCACTATGTTAACCCCAGAATCAATTGCCTCAACTCAGATTTCCCAATTGTCCACATTACTTGGTTGTGGTTTCTTCTAACCTGTGCAGGGGTGAAACACCTGTCCCTTCCATTGAGGAAGCAACATCAGGAGGGGGAATTGCCAACAGGATGGACCTACCTGAGGTCGAGGCCTAACCCCGTGGCATTGGATGATGCCCACCACCTTGACCAAAGCAGATTACATGGTGCTCGCAGGCACTCCCTGTCTGAGTTCCTGTACAAGGGTTCAGTACAACTTCTGAATAATAAGAGTTGCATTTATTGTTTCATTAAGTTGCAGTAACACAATAGCATGCATGCCGTGACTTATGCTGCAGGCTGATCATATTGGAAGAAGTCCACTACACTGTGGATCATGCAGGGGCTAAGTTTCAGTTCCCAAACATTAAAAAAAAAAATCAGCAGCCATTTATTTAAAAGATTTACAAGGAGAATATCAACAGGGGACTAAGGAGAAATTCTAGCCCCTCTCCCTTCTGCAATTTAAACAAAATGTAATACTCTTTTCTCTGGTTGATCTGTTGCTGCTTGAGCAATCTGTGTTTTGAATTAGACAGCAGGTGTGATGTCAGATGTGACATTATTTGTCACTGCTGTGAACACGCTGCCTTGGGAGCTGCCTTGAAGTAGTGGGATATCATTGATAGGACAGACTTAAAATCCTTTACAGCTTTTCCTGCCTGTATTAATATTGAACAAAGCTGAACATAGAGTCCAAGGCTAAAGCTTGCCCACTAGCATAGTTAAGTGATCAGGCTTAACCATGGCTAAATGATCAATTCTGGCAGTTCCATTTTAATGGGGAAGGCAGCCTCGGCTGATGTGTATTTACAGTATCATCTTCTGTGAACATTTCTTAACAGCATTGTTACTCATAAACTATTTAATGTCCAGAGATTTTTGGTCACCTGTGAATTCGTTCTCAACTATCAGATTGCCACTACTGGCTCTTGTGACACTGTCATATGATGGAGGAAAGGATGCTGAGGATGAAGTTTGAGATCCATCAAGATTCCTGCCATAGTTTTCACCCATCATAGAAGCTATGAGTCCTTCTCTTTCTGGAGCAGCATCACCAAGAGTGTCACCACTGTATGTTCTGTGTTGATACAGGTAAGAAGCATGCTTTATGGAGCGCTGGAGCAAATGACTCCTGTAGGCACGCTGGATGACTGTGGCAGAAACTTCCTCTTGTCTGTGTCTGAGTGTAGTGGAGATTGGCTCATAGGATTTTTTGGATGGATTGACAGCCATAAACTTCTCCTCCATCTGTACTTTCAGTTTATCCATTTCCCCAGAATCCCCTAACACTCGTTTAGTAAACGCAAACAAAATATCCAAGCAATGGATCCTATCTCCACTGACCATGGGCAAGTCCATTGCTATGAGTTCAATTTTGTTTGGTTTTGGTACACGTAAAGGTTCGACCAAAGCATCTGCAAAGTCTGAAAGTGCAGAGAAAGTTATGAACTGAGTTGCTTCAGGATCAAACTTCTCCCAGATTTCATAAAAGATGTCAAAGTCATCTTCCCCTAAAGGTTCTGTACTTTCCTCGGTAGCAGCATTGAAGTTTTCCAAAATAACAGCTATGTACATGTTTACAACAATGAGAAATGATATAATGATATAACTCACAAAATAAACAATTCCCATTGCAGGTTTACCACACTCACCTACTCTACCAGTTATATTTGGGTCACAGTACGGTGGCCCAGTGTTTAAAATAGGACTGAGAAGGCCATCCCAGCCAGCTGATGTTGTAATTTCAAAGAGACAGAGCATGCTGTTAGCAAAAGTTTGGAAGTTGAACATGTCATCAATGCCATCTTCCATCTTCACATAGGCAAAGTTAGCCATGCCAAAAATGGCATAAATGAACATGACCAGAAAAAGCAAGAGACCAATGTTGAACAGAGCAGGTAGGGACATCATTAAGGCAAAAAGGAGAGTTCGAATTCCTTTGGCAGCCCTGATGAGTCTCAGTATTCGTCCAATTCGGGCCAAGCGAATGACCCTGAAGAGTGTAGGTGGTAAGAAATGTTCAAATGCTTTACCAATGCCAGAAAGCAGTAAGGCTACAAAGGAAATAGTAATAAATGGTTAGAATTTCACATTTCTTAGCTAGTTATAGGATAAAATTATAATATTATTTCAGTTGGAGAATATATAATATATGGGAGCTAACAGCTTAACGTTACAACCATCAATAGAAGTTCAAAATCAGCCATTATGAACTACATCCTTCATCCACTAGAAGACTGTATGTGTTGCACCAAGAATGGCAAGCATCTTCCTTTGCACAGCTTTAAAAAACTGTATCTGTCAACACTTGCTGACTAATGGTTTTCTCTGAAATCAACTGCATGAATTCTTCAACAAGTGCTGGTTATGTACTTCTTACTTTGATGTTAGCTGCTGACACTGTAGTGAGGTAGGTGTCAGTCTCTTCTCTCTGGTGACAGTGGTGGAACATGAGGAAACAGCCTCAAATTACACCAGGGGAGGTTTAGATTAGATGTCAGGGTGAATTTCTTTATGGAAGGAGTGGCTAGGCACTGAGCAGGCTGTCAAGGGACGTGATGGAGCTGCTATTGCCAGAGACATTAGAGAGGTGTATGGATACAGTGCTCAGTGATGGGCTTTATAGTGCAATGTGATGGTTGGACTTCATGATCTTACGGCTCTTTTCCAACCTCAATGGTTCTCTGTTCTACACAGCTAAACTCAGAAAACAAAATATAATAACAATGTCATGGTCATCACTTAGTTAACATAATCAAGATGCATAAAGCAAAACCACTGAGGAACATCAGTGCAGTGCATGACACTGGCTTGAAGTTCATTCGGGAACACAGATCTAAGGGATTTTATTTTACCTTTAGTTTGCTTGAAGACTGACATACAGTAACATACATCTACACCATACAGACATCTAGTAACTCTAGAAGCAGAGGTCTGGCTTTTCTAAATTTAGATACTTTGAATGCATTTTTCTGGATCTTTGCTCCGAGAACTTAATTCCTTAAGGAAGAGCTATATTCTTACTGTGAGCCAAAATATAACTCACAATAATGAAAACAGTATTTTTTCTTCTCTTAAATGTCTTCTATGATTTTAGCAGTCCTGGCCCTTGGAAAAGTTAAACTGGCAGAAGCGTTCTTTACAGCATTCTTCCACTGCAATCTCTTCACATAGAATCTAATACATTTGGGTTGTTCTTTTTTATTCTGCTACACAGTGCAAATATTTAATTTCAGCCATTTATGTCCATGTTTCCAGAAACAGAATTCTAACATCTATAATCTGACTCCTATCTTCATATTCTCTTTATATTTAAATTCTCTGTTAAAACACAGGTGACAAAAAACATCATTTTTAACTGACCAAAGATATTGTAGTTGACACTGTATCTATAGCAGTGGAAATCATCATGTAATGTAGTACATTATGTTGGCACGTTGGATCATTAATTCTGATTTTTCACAATAAGAAACAAGAACTTAAAAAAACTACTATGAATTATTTCATATAAAACAGCCTTAATTACTTTTGCAATATTTGTATTAGAAAAACAGTATAAATTTTAGAAGACAATTTCCTATTATTTCAATAAAAAGCATGGTGGGTTTTTTTAGATCATGCATTTTTTTTTTGCTCACTGTTTTGCAGTACTGTGGTTCCAATTCAACATTCATTTGAAGATAAGTTTAAACTATTTTTTTTTTTTAGAAGAATGACTGAATTATTAAAGAATTCGTCAATCCAATTTTACTTACCAACAATTGACATGATCACAACAACTATATCAAATATGTTCCAGGCATTTGAGAAATAGTACTGCCTCAGAGCCACCAATTTCAGTATACATTCTGTAGTAAAGATAGCAACGAAGAGTATATTGATTTTGTTAAGAACGTTGGTCTTCGTGTCACTTTGTTCATAGGTTTCCACCATCATGGTGATCATATTAAGGCAGATGAGAATCATGATAACGATATCAAAGGCTTGATTTGTTGCAATGTCAAAAAGGAATCCTTGGTATCTATTCTAGAGGAAAACAAACACATCTGGCATCAGTTAGGAAAGTAGGGAATATTCATCTATACATCCTTTCTGACAGATCCAATTTTTTTGTTACTATGTCACTTAACTATGGTAAAGATAGAGAAATTTAAGGAACCCTGAAAATTTGAAGTCCCTCCCATCCTGAAGTTTAATCACTTCTGAGCTGAATACAATCCTGAAAACATTGTTCAGAAAACTCAATAAATATTTAACTTCTAAAAACTTCCAAATATAACTTGCTAGTATAGAATTGTCTTTCAGACCTGAATAACAATGTAAAGACTGTATTTACATTCAATACCTAAAATATGCATTTTTACATTAATTATATTGATTTCATAATGAATTTTCCTTTTGAGGAATTCATACATTCTTACCAATGGTCTTGGAATGGGTTTTTGAGGTTTCTTGGATCCCAACCTTTTCATGGCATTGTAATATTTTTTCTGTTCCTCTGTCATAAATATATCTTCCCCACCAAAGTATATAAAGAAATGTCAATGTTATTTGATGTGATAGCAGCACTGTTGTAGTTATGGATGTCTAAATGACTGGAAACAAGCATTCCTTTCTTTCCACATCTTGCTGGTACTAGCTCTCCTCACGATTTGTAACTGGGCTCAAAAATAGCAGAGGAGAATCAACCATACATTTACATGGCAAAGTCCTAGGGTGAAACATAAGTATCTCAGAAGCATGAAAACAAATGAGCTACTGAAAAAACCTATGTAACAATAAGACTTTCCCTGGGTTCCCACGTGCTGTTCCTGTTGAACACACAAAATACTTGTACACTTAGAAAGTATACAAAATACATTTTCTAGGAAAACAGACTCAGTACCAAGGCAGGGAGCAATATTTACAGGGGTGAAGTGCAGATGTCATTGCCTCTGAAGCATTGGGAATGGGCTGAGTGTTCCAGCTGTTGTGGAGCAGAAAGGAGCGTGAGCCTCACCCTGCATGCTACGTCTGCTTATGCTCTAGTAGATGTAAATTAAAGTTTTATAAATTAAATACAGCAAGGACATTATTCTCAAAAAAGCAGCATTGCTGGTTATACAGAACGTGCCTAGGAGCACAATCATTATACTTATCTTTTTCTTTTGTTGGTTGAAATTGTCTATAATAACACCAACAAAGAGATTCAGGGTAAAGAAAGATCCAAAGATGATGAAGGTCACGAAGTAGAGATACATAAATAAACTGTGCTCCATTTTCGGCTGCTCATTTTTCTGCAGGAATGAAAAACAACATGAAACAAGACCAATAATAACATGGGTCCAATTCAGAATAATCTTCACATTGCAGATCCCCTAATAAATTGATTCCAGGAGGAACTTAAATTTACAGCTTTACTGCTTGTTCTGACAAAATCACTATAGTTTAAAACCACAAAATACCTCATGGTGCTAGTGGTGATGCCTGACCACATACATTATATGATTGCTTATCGAGTTTGATTCACTTGATTTGTTTGATTCTTGATGAAGTTTGGTCCTATGTTTTGAACCATATCACTGCAGCAATTACAGCTTTATTCATAGCTCCAGTTTCATTCAAGATGATGTGTGAAAGTAGGTGCCTCCTTGAAGTCCCCTGATATCTGACTTGGCTAATGTCAGTCATTAGGCTTCCAGTCATTAGGAGGGACGGTGAGAATTAAAGAGGTGCTCAGCTTACCAGAAGAGATAGTCAAGGTGAGCTGAAATCCTTCTGAGCATACTGACTAGATGCCCATCACCTATAGAGGGGACTTGGAGGTGAACTCACATGGAGACCTTACACTGCAGGTAATTGCATTCAGGTGAATGCATCTGAAGTTGAATCTCACATTAGAGCAAATCAGCATCAGGATAGTGCAGATTCATTCACAGAGAAAGTGCTTGCATTAGCTGATAAAAGGCATTACTGGAAAGCTCTAGCTTCACCATCAAGCATCACAGTGTAAACATCACAATGAATTTGCAGAATAACATGGAGATGTTTAACACAAAACGTGAACTGACCTCTCGCGAGTCTACTGCTGCATACATGATCTCCATCCAACCTTTAAATGTCGCCTAGAACGAAAGATTATCAAAAATGCATTGAACTTGTAGAGTAAAAGTCTTCACATCATATTCAGTATCCAAATGACACTGGCTGGGGAAAGACGCTTTACTGTAGTCGTAAACACCTAAAACCAAATGACTTCAGGGACAAAATTATCACTGCTGTATGTGACAGCCTCTGCCCTTGAAGGAAGGAAAAGCCAGGCACGATGGAACAGACCACATTGTTCTATAATCCTGCCATGACAAACCTTCACCAGTCTGGTCTATTAAGTGCCTTACAGCCAACATGGCTGAGCAAATCGGTAGTATATTAGGTCAGTATTCTATTCACATATCCTTTCTAAGGCTGACTCCAGCTCTCAGGCTCATGGATTGGTTTTATTATCCAGAGAGGCTAGCACAGCACTCATCTGACACATATTTTATCCCTCTAAAAAAGCATGGTGGGGTCCAGTTTGTCCCAGTGTTTTCAGTTTTCATTCATTAACAGCACTGGTCTTTGATCAGCCAGCTATGAGGTAAGAACAGACTGTTAAATCCTGTTTTTCACCATCCATGGAGATGAGTTAGAGGTTGGCAGGTCTCTCTGACTTGACATTGGCAAGTGAAGGCAAGCAGCACTTACCACCTGCAGAAGAGCCAGGTAGCCAGAGCCAACATTATCAAAGTTGACTTTAACATTGACCCAGAATATTTTTCCTGTGTGATTCCATGCTTTACAGTCTGCTTTGTCATTGATAGAACTATCCAATTTTGAATTTTCTTCTGTTAGGTTGACACATTTCCCAAACTTCCCAGCAAACAGGTTGACTCCCATGATGCTAAAAATGAGCCAGAAGATGAGGCAGACGAGCAGAACATTCATGATGGAAGGGATGGCTCCCACAAGGGCATTGACCACCACCTAGGGTGAAATGGGAGAGAAAAATTGCACTTAATTGAACAAAGATGGACTTAAGTATCTGCTCAGTGCAATCAGCTGATGTAAAAAACTAAGCTGTCAATTAGGTATGCAGCAATCGAAAATCTTATGTTTTCCATGCAAATATTCATCACAGCTGATGTGGGTACCTTGAAAAAAAGATTCAGAGATGTATAATCTTAGTCTCTCAATGGAAGGGTTGGAATGTTTCATTTTGCTGTGACCTCTCACTACAGATATGGACTACAATGTGAGTCCATCCTCTTCTGATGACTTTCCCTTGGTTTTGTTGGATTTTGCTTTCTTTATAACTTTTTATAACAGAAGATTTATGGGTTATTCTCCCATAAGCATTAATGCAAATGACTGTATTATTAATGCTGTGGAAAGTAGTATTTCAAAAGGATTGGTAATGACTTTCCACTAGCATTTTGTTGGACCTATTTTTTAATGTATCATCATTACACTTGGGGTCCACAGCTGTGATCTAAGGATCTGATTTGTGCTGTAGGATCCCAGAAGTAATTTTTGAGTATACACTAAGACATAACATTTTGCTTGACAAAATAAGACAGTGCAAAGTTATACAAATGCATCCAAGTATTACAGCCAGTGAATTTAGCATTCAGATAGCAATTTGATGGGCCAAAATGAAAATGAAAAAGAACTGTGAAGGTTTTTGGAAGCCTTGTCACAAGCATTCTGCATAGCAAGTTGGAAACTATGATAGAACCTGGTTCAAAATTGACTTCAGCCATGGAAAGCTTGTTAAATTAACAGAATGCATTAATTTCTCTGCATCTTCAGTGACAGTATTGCAGAGAACTTGCAGCTTCACCTCCAAATGATATCCAAACAATTTATAGTTCAGTTGCATTGAGGTTGCATTCCCATGTTAATGTGTAATGAAGATACAATGCACATTTATGCTATCTATGGTGACAAATCTGAGTGTATTCCCTAGACCAAAGTTGAGTCCAAACACTGCCATGGTTCACCACTGCTCTTTCACGTGATAGTATATAGAAGTTTTGCATGTGACTGATTTCCTCTTCATTTGTGCAATGATATATTTCTAATCAGTCACTTTCAACGGCTTCATGCTCCTAGCACTCCTTCAATGGGAAAAGGCAGCCAATATACAGAAAATCAGACCTACTTTTTGTAAGAATAATTATATAGGGAAAAATAGTTTGGATAAAGTATGCCTGAGCAGCCTAAAGATTTTGTAAGCCAATTCAGTAAAAACTTACAGAACAGAGATGATTCTTTCCTCTGAATTAGCCTTTTGTGAGCATCTCAGAATGAAAATTGCTATCTCCGAATTCTTTTCCTCTACTTCGTTTTGGCTTCTGTCAGTAAGACAGAAACATAGGAATGGCTGAGCAGCAAAGGAGTAAATTTCTTCCGGGTCTCATTTTAATTTCAACACCATTTGAGATTGATCACTTGAGTTAAGTCTGTAAGGAGCAGCCAAGTGTAGAGGAGCTCAGCAAAGGTGCTCTCAAGAATTAATTTCATAAATCCCAAACTTAGCTTGGTGCAGGCATGAACTCACAAATATGCATCCAAGTGTTACGATACCATTATGCGCTTATTACAGGCTTTATTTTGCTTTCAGACTTACCCTCATCCCCTCAAATCGTGACAATGCTCTTAAAGGTCTCAGAGCTCGAAGAGTCCTAAGAGATTTCATACCATCAAGTGAACTATCTAAGATATTTATCAAAGAGATCTGAATGGGAAGACCAAACAAAGTATTAGCAACATTTTGGCTCCTGTTTCTTTTATTCCTACCGAAAATAAACAAATAAATAAAATAAAATAACATCAGTGCCTAGAGTACAATATCGTGATGCAGTCATTAATGGAGGCAAGAGTGTTTTCTTGATTTTATGTCCAGAAAAGAATTGGTAATTGTGCTGATAAGTCTTGCCTCAGGGTCTGCGTAGAGTCATAAAACCATAGAATGGCTTGGGTTGGAAGGGACCTTATAACTCATTCAATTCTGACCCTCAGCAGTGGGTTGGTTGCCACCCACCAGATCGGCTGCCCAGGGTTCCATCCAGGGATGGGGCATACAAATGTAAAAATGCTGGATGCACAACTTACACCTACAATGAAGAAATCAAGCCAGCACCAGGCATTGGTGAAATACTTAGTGAAGCCATAAGCCACCCATTTCAGGATCATCTCCAGAAAGAAGACAAAAGTGAACAATCTGTCGAGGAACAACAACACAGCTTTGATGGTTTGTCTCTCGTTTATATGAATGTCTTCAAATGCCTGAAATCAAGATATGCAAATAAATTACAAAGTCACAGATAAGCTTGAAACATGAAAGTCTAGAAACAAAAAGGCCTCTTCATCATTCTGCACATAGTTTACATAGATGTGAACCTCATCTTTTACTCAAATGTATGCCAGCTGGCAAGCTTGTAATTGTTCCTGTCCTTTCTTTTTCTTTTTCCTTAAATATACACATAACTCATGGACACATACAGACCATGCATTCTGGGATCTTAGGGAAGTACATTTTTAGATTTTTTTCTCAATAATTTTATACTTTCAAGAGAACTAAAGTACTAAATATCATTTACATATTTTAATGATATATAGAAACATTTATATTTCACAGCTATGAAAGCCAGAAGAATCTAATGTGCAGTCAGAATGGAAACAGCTTGTTAGAGCTGTGTATTTTTGGCATTGTTCTAATTTGTAATAGTATGAATAATAAAACTGTGATAATTACAAGAGCAGATAAATGACTGCTGCTTTTCACCTGGAGTTCAAAGATATATCCTGTGTTTTCTGCCAAATGTAACTTATCTGGGTGCTATTAAAGCTAAAAATGCTTGTACAGAAATACATGAAATCGTGCTCCACAAACCAGGGCTCCGCTGCTCAGAAGAATCATGAATATGATAAAGGATTCAAACCAGGAGTGCTCAACAATTTGGTAGCAGGTTTTCCTCAGATTCCACCATGTTTTTCCTCCAAAGTTTATGGCTCTCCCCTTACAGCAACGAAAGTATCGAACACAACCTGAAGGTGAGAGATAATGATTGCAAGTAATGAAAGCACATGCAGGTCAAGGGCAAATCTGATGTGCATTGTTCTGGTGCCCACTGTCAGGTGTGGTCTGATTTTATACTCTTCTCTTGAGTTAATTCAAAACTGATTTTGACTCTGTCCAGCAGAGCAGAGTTCACCTCACCTTTCTATAATTATCTACTCTTTGGTGTTCTGGTCTTCACCACTTACAAGCAATCCTCTGGTTTTTAAGGAAAGAGAGTTTATTTTTCTGGTGGCACAATCTCTCTATTCATTACACAGAGACGATGCCCAAATCACTTGCTGACATCTAAAATTAAGTGAAATTAATCTCACCCTATCAGCTCTGGATTTCCAGAACAACAGGATTATTTTTGACACTTCACAACCATGTAACCACGAGAACCTTACCTTCTGAAAAACATTTTTCTGGAGTCTTCTTGTCTTCAGCAAACTCTGGAATCTGCCTCAACAGATCTTCAGGGTTTGTCAGATCCACTGTGCTGCCTTCAGAAGAGCTGACAGAGTCAAACTACCAAGCAAAAGAAGATCAAGTATTGATTCTCCCTACATTCAATTCCAAATGAATAAGATCGATGAGCAAATAACATTCAAAATAAAAACTTTGTTATGTGCTAATATTTCAGGTAGAGTTAAGAATGGAATAGACTTTATGACTTTAAATGTAAGCTTGGAAATAGCAATAGATGCATTCAAATAAGAGCCAAAGACATATATGTACAGTATCTATCCACATGAAACAATTTTAACTGGTTAATAAGCTCATAAAGTAGAGAGATTTAAACTTGCTTTCAACTACACACAGTCCTCAGCAGGTTAAAACCAGAAAAATCTAGGAAAATACATTCTAACAGGAGAAACAGATAAATATTCTGAATATCCATTAGAGTATTTAAGAATTAGAAATTGGAATTGTATCATGTGTAATCCAGTTTGTTCCTTCAGACATACACACGAGTCGGCTGTTTGTTACAAATGACTTACTCTTGGATTTTGTTTGGGGTTTTTTGTGTGTATTGCTGAAGAAGAGCTCATTTTCTTGGATGTTTTCCTAATTCAGAATTATTCTTAATTTATTTATGAATCATAATGAGAAACTCATTTGTAATATTACTTTTCTTGAAACTGAGTTATTTATGACACAGGTTGGCTTGCTGGAATTTCCCAGTTTTGCTTGGAAGCATCTCTGTCCTTTAATGAAATATTTTGTGACCCTTTTTTTTTTTTTTTTTTTTGTAGACTAATTTCAAGAAATGGAAATCAGCAGAGAATTTTGTAAATTATTTATTTGAATCAAATCAGTTTGACACCTCTCCATTCCTAAATACTTATCTTTCCTACATACACATATATATTTTTTTTCTTAAAGATCAATATGTGGATACCCGGCAAAGGTTCATTTTCATTCACAGAAATCACATCCATCATTAACCAGCCAGACTGGCACAGTGCTGCTGCCACCACTGAAATCCAATCCATTGAGTCCATGAGCAGAAATGTATCCAAGCCCAACCAGCACTGGAAAGTCAACATCATAAAAGCAATCTACATATATCTACATATTTACCTCTTTATGCTCTGGTGATGATGGTTCAAGCTTCCTATCTTTTCCTAGGTAAAGCACACTGAATTCTTCAGAGGAAAGTCCTGACACTTTACTCCAGCTTCCTGAGGTTTTCCCTCTTTCCCCTCTTTGCCTCAGGTAATTTTCCTCCTGAAAATAATCTGTGGATTAGCAGAGTTCTTTTTTTCCTTTTTTTTGGGGGGTGGGTAAATTGGAAGGAAAAGAAAAATACGTTGTGCATTTCATTTAAAGGGGGATGCTCTGGACAGAAGTCATAGATATGATTCTTTTGAATGTGATATTACCTAGCAATAGAGATAGGGAAAATTTCCCTAAAGGCCATAGAGCAATATGGAATTAGTAATTCAGTGAGCTGCTTATCACCTGGATCTTGAGACTACTTTTGCATAGGAATTAAAAGGGAAGCTTCATATGGGAAACACTGGGACAAGAAAAGGACATTTTAAAAGGCTCCAAGTGATCAATTTACCCTCATCCTAAACATTTCTAATTGGTTCAAAATATGTTAACTGTGGAAATATGGGTCAGGTATGCCACCTTGTGCCACAGACAGTCTTCTACCATGCATTTATCTTTCAGTATATGTGCACCCTACTATAGAATCATAGAATTATAGAATGGCTTGAGTTGGAAGGGCCCTCAAGGATCATCAAGTCCCAACCCCCTGCCATAGGCATGGTTGCCAACCATTGGATCTAGTACAAGATCTGGCTGCCCAGAACCCTATCCAACCTGGCCTTGAACATGCCCGGGGGGGGTTGATCTAGGAGGTTTTGATCCCCAAACAAGCAGATTTATTACCTGTTTACTGTAGTCTGTGTCTGAAAATGTGCTCAGTTTATCTTCATCTTCAAAACCCTCACTTGTATTCTCTTCCTCAGCAATAGGGACACAAACAAATACATTGGGATTGGTAATAAAATCATCAAGACCTGAGCATATTTCCCCATTTTTTTCAGCCCATTCAATATTGTAATTGTCTTTACAATTTTTTCTTTCTTTTCCCAAACCCAGCGGGTTCTGGGCAGTCAATTTGTTTTTCTTCTTCTGCGCTTTCTTTAGATGCTTGAGCTTTCCACAACAGGTGTTCCACATCACACTCTTCAAAAAGTGCAGTCCCTTATGAATCCGAGCAAAAGCAATCCGTAGATTGTTCATCTCTCCATCATCTTCTGCTGTTTGGAGACAGTCAGTACTGAAGGAATTCAACAGCAGCGCAATGAAGAGGTTGAGTACCTAAAAGTCATTGAAATAATGATAAAATAAAAAGTCTGGAAATTTGCATTCTAAAGTCTGAACTCTAATGCAGAAGACATGTTACAAAAGCTCAGCTTGACTGATCAAATGAAAACAAGGCAGAAATTAGATGGCTATAAAATCACAGAATGGTTTGGGTTGGAAGGGACCTCTCACTAGACCAGGTTGCTCACAGTCCCATCCAACCTGGTGCCTTGTACGTTTCCAGGGAGGAGCATTCACAGCCTCTCCGGGCAACCTGTTGTATGACCAACAGGATTACAGCTGATGAACTAAATTTCCCTCTCAGAAAGCTCGATGTTCCCATATAACTCTTCCCCCTAAAAGTTACTTCAAATCATGTATATTTATTTGATCAAAACAACTTTCAAACTTTACAGTAGTAACAAATACTGTGGTCACCGCCAATCAGTTGAACGACAGCTCTCCACGTCAAACTAGAATTAAATCAGGCCTCTATGGAAGTTTCCCAACTACGATGTAAAATCAGATTCTGGCACAGCAATATTGTTAAACATACAACATTGCTGGAAAAAAAGTCAAAATCAAGAGAGGCTCAAAGTGAGGTTTTCTCCCTGTTTTTGAGCGTCGTCTTCTCCCCCACCCCCCAACTTATTTATTTAAATGCAATGGGAGAATGAAACAGAATTATTCATAAGTCTTCTGATCCCATTTGGGATTACACCACTCAATTTTTCACCTTTCAGAACTGGGCAAATAACACCTGGATCCACAGCAGGATCTTCATGGAAGTGACTGGCATAAGCTGTAGCTCTTGCTATGTAAACAGACTTCCAGAGAATTCATCTATACAGATGATTGTAAAAAATCCCAATTAAAGTGATACGAGTGTAGATTCTGTTACTGCTGATAAGGATCTTGGAAAACTTGAAAATTTGAAAAAAAGAGCAGCAGCTCAATGGCAAAAGGTAAAACAGGCTTTTACAGACAAACAGACACAGGTAATTGTTCTAAATGTGCTTTAGGGATCTACTATTTATTGACGAAAAGGCAATTAAGTTAACTCTAACATCAACAGGATAAAGAGAAGAAAATATTGGAAAACTCACCACTAAATTTCCTATTACCATGACCAGCAGAAAGACAAGAAGGCACAGTGGTTTTTCAGCTACCACCATGCAGTCCCACATGGTCTCAATCCATTCTCCACACAGAATTCGGAAAATGACAAGGAATGAATGGAAGAAGTCCATCATGTGCCAGCGTATTTCACCATTTTTTTTAATTTTATCACCGTGGATCCTATAGCTTCCCCCAAAGAGCTGCACCCCTACTATAGCAAAAATGAAAACGGTGATTGCCAGGACGAGGGTCAGGTTACTCAGCGCACCCAGGGAGTTACCAATGATTTTAATGAGGGTGTTTAAAGTTGGCCAGGATTTTGCTAGTTTGAAGACCCTCAGCTGTGTGAAAACATAAAAAGCTGTGTTAGAGATCAGCAGAGATAACCCACCTTTCTGCTGTTCAAACCTGTAAAAACCATTTTTTAGACACTGTCTGGAGATATAATGTTTGTGGCATTGTGATGCTAACACTTTTAGAAGAGTATTTATGGATTTATTTTCCCAAGAACTGAACAACATTGCAGAAATAAACCAACAACCTCCTTGAGGGCCTGGCTACCCTTAGTTCTGGTAAGTGCCTGGCCCACACAGGCAGGAATTTGTATAATGTGCTTGATGTAGAACATTGTGCTCAATTTATATGCAACACAAACGATCAAAGCTAGGGGACCAGCCATTGTATTACAATAAAAGATCTTTCTTCCTGCAGCACAGCCCCAGTCAGTCCACAGTACACAGTATGAATACCTTAACGTTACTTTATGACTATTTTTAAGTATTCTTCTTTCCATATTTGTATTAGGACAACTTTTCATAAGACTATTTGGGCTAGTATTTCATTTTCTACTTCTGATTATAACACCTATATTCTGGAAGATAATTTTTTTCTGAGTACTTCTTACTGTTCTAAGTGGAAATGTACACAGCATTAAACTTCAACTCTAACATTACAAGTTTAACGCTGTGTTTCTTATTCCCACTGCTGAGAAAATAAATAATTTCTGCATCTTAACTACAAACAACAGAAGCATTCTCTATTATATTCACAACATAATGTTGAATAGAACGATGTATGTGTAAGGCCTACCAGTCTGAAGGACCGTAAAACTGTCAGGGTTCCTCCTTTTCGCCTTTCTTTTTTGCTTCCGTATCTGGGTAAACTCAACTCAATTAAACTCAGTGTGACAATTATGCTGTCAAAAATATTCCAGGGCTGCTGAAAATAATAGTAGGGATCTAGAGCAATGATTTTTAAGACCATTTCTGCGGTGAAGATTCCTGTAAAGATCTGTAATCAAGAAAACAGTAGCAAACAAGTAGCATCAGCCTAAAAGTTACCTTTAATTAATCTTATCTTTAGAATATATTTCTGTCAGTACGGCAAAATTCACGGATGCATCGATAAACCCAATTTTTATGAACTTCTAATGTACTTTCTGTTAAAATGGGAGAGTTGTTTTCTACTTGCTCAGAAGTACATTAGAACTGCATCAATAAAATCTTGGAATCGTCTGTCTTAGAAATGTACGCTACCTAAGTACAGAGTTTGCTAACCTTTCATTTTTACAGCTACTCTTTGTATCTCAAGTGAAAACACACATCAATCATTTTTTGGTATAGAAAGGTCACGTGGTTGAAAATTCACTTACCGAGTTGCCCACATTAAGCATTAATTTAAAATTATGTGTCATATTATTGTGTTCCAGTGCCATAAACAAAGTATTCATCACAATGCAGAGCGTTATGGTGAGATCAATGAAGGGATCCTTTATGAAAGCAGCCACTTTTTTCTTGATTCTCAACCAAAGTGGACAACAGTTCCAAATCAGATACTTTAAAGCAAAATCTTTCAGGACTCTTGGGCATTTCTGTTGGGATTCTTCAAGTTCTAAGAACAAAAGAGAACTCCATTATAGTTAAATAATTAAATAATTGTTGCTAAGCAAGACTGTGAAAAAAAAAAAAATCGCATCAACTCAAAGGACATGAGAATAAAAAAGGAACCTCAAAACTCAGTTAGAGCCCCAGAGCTTCCCTGCTCATGTAGTCCCTACATCACTCCAAGGATAATGTAGCAGCTAAAACACATTTTCCTAATATCCAAACTGAATGTTAGGAAAAACTTCATAGAAAGAGTGATTGGGCACTGGAGCAGGCTGCCTGGGGAGATGGTGGAGTCACTGCCCCTGGAGGTATCCATCAACTGTGGAGATGTGGCTCTGAGGGACATGGTGAGTGGGCATGGTGGGGGTGGGTTCGTGACTGAACCAGTTGATCTTAGAAGTCTTTCCCATTCTTAATGACTCTATAACTTCATCTGATCCTTGTGTAGACACGTAGGACACTGACTGTAATCGCTGCTAACATCTTTGCCTCCATTGACTCCCTAGGGAGTAAACAGCAGATCCAAATGTTCAGATTGTGGATGAGACAAAACCAAACCACAGCATCTCGAGCTTCACCTTAGGCCAGTTCCATTGGAAAATTCATGACTATCATTTCTAAACTGATGCAAGCAATAACACATCTCCATTTTCTAAAAGTAAAACATGGAAAGGAAGCTGTTTTGGTGGTCTCATTTACAGGCTCTTGGTCAAATACAACACTCCTCTCTTTTTTGAATATTAGTGTGTGCTCCAAAACACTCTTATACCCTGAAGTCTTGTGCAAATTCGTAGACCAACTAGAACTTACTAATCATTCCTACCACGCTTATATTGAGCTTTAAGTAAACTAATCTTCAAGGATGTGAAAATTTCTCAAAAGTCTGGTAATTTAATTTAGAACTGACTTTTATCCTTTTCTTCTTTGGACCTGTCCTTATTTCTTCCCACAGTTTAGATTTAATTTCTGCTCCAGATTCAAGTTCCAGATTCCACCCCACACTAGTTATCCCAGTGTGATCACCCTGTCTTAACTCCAGGTTTAGCACTTTTTTTGGGGGGGGGTGGTGGTTGGAGATTCATGATCCTTGAGGTCCCTTCCAACCCTGGCCATTCTGTGATTCTATGATTCTCTGAAATGCCTTCTTTAATCATGTGGTACAGATCCAGAACAGCCAGCGTTCATATCCCAGCAAAGACAACCTCCCTGCTCCCTATTCCAGTGCTCATTCTCAGGTTAATCCGTGGCCACATGAACAGGGTCTCAAAAGCAACAGACCCAGTTACATGGAGATTCTGTTTCTATCTCAGTACACCACTGAATATCTGCATTTTAAATTTGAAAGCCAGGCTTCGGGTGATGTGTTCCAACTGTGATTTTTCGCAACAGTGTAGAGAAATTTAAGAAAAAGGATCTCCCTAACACAGGACTACCAGGCTTGCTATAGATCATACTTGTTCTCCACAAATCAGTGATAAAGCTCCACATCAGTGACACACAAACACATATTTCATTCTCATTGTTGTCCAGCAAACAATGGAAATTTAAGCTGATTTTTTTTTTTTTCCCCAGAAAGATATGAAACTACTAGCAAAATAAGTCGGTAATATAGCCCTCAAAAATTCACATAGAATGGTCATAGACAACGCTAAGTGCTCAGCCTCCAGGAATTGCCACAATTAATTCTGCTTGTGTAATCTTAATGACTGAGTCTGCATGCATATTCATGATGGAGTAGCAGCCACAGGGCCAAGAGGAGAAGCCACTGCCCCAGTCCTGCTTATCATGTCCCAGAGAAATTCCTCCCAACTGTCATCACTCCAACCTCTTCCTCAGTCCTATGAAATGTGATATGAAAGGCAAAGGATAAGTTCTAATACATGATGAATGTACTATAATGCATTCTTTTTAATGAAAAAAAGGGCATAATTAGTCATGTAATTCCTAACTATACATCTATAAATCTCTGTTAACTTTTAAGAAATGTATTGATATTTTGGTCTTTTACCCTAGCATTACCTCAGGATTGAAATAAGCATAATGAGGAGCCACTTACCCTCTAAGACACTGGTAATTACGCTGACTGCACTTGCTGCCCTTTGCCTTTGAAATGTCTCATTAAAGTACTCCACTGATAGCTGAGGATGTAAATGCATCATGCTGCTCTCATCATTCACAGCTGGCTGCTTAAAGAAGTAAACACAATTAGGGAGATACCACAGGAATAAAATGAAGTAGGATGCAATGATGGGTAACTATGAAAGTTAATAGGAACAATGACATGCAGCCAAATAAATGTACCTGTCTACAAGATGTAATAGTGTTCAGAACAAAGGTCCTACACATCAGTAATACTGCTACAGTAAATGGATCCCTCAAGCATGTAACAGCAACAGGGCAAATACAAAGCTTGGAAATAGGTGTGAGGGCAAACAGATCCAGCAGTCTTCCAGAGACTAATCAAAATGGAGAGAGATGAGTGGTAAAATAGTAACAGCATATCTCTACCCATTTGCACGGGGGACTTACAGAAAAAGCTATTGATGCTAAAGGTGCTGTATAGGAGAAGGACCTAAAGGTGCTGCTCAAAACAATCATCCTGGACAGGGTAAAGGATAAAATGACCTTCTGCTGAGTTACGATGTCAGCACTAGTAACCCAGCTAAGGAAATATACATGTATGTGGAGAAACCATAATACAAAGACATACTTAAAATAACATTTTTCCTTACCAGATCACCCTTCCCCAGATCTTCCATTACTGGAGGAAGCATTATCCCCTCAGAAGGGGCTGTATCTAAGCCATGCACCTTGCCGTTCCCTCCTCCCATCACCAAAATGGGGCCATTGCAGTCGTCCACGTTGGCCCGCTTGCTGCTCTGCATGCAGCTTGGGGTGGCAGGGTGGGAGCCATAGCTCTTTTGGCTTGGCATGCTGGAGCGTCTTCCCACCTGTGGCACTGACATTGACCTGCCCTGGATCTTGTTCTCCCCTGTGCTGTGGGGTTCCTCATCAGCGGAATCCGCTTTGGAGTCAACTTCTAAAGCAGGTATTTGGAAATTGAACACACTGCCATGGCTAAGCCTGCGTTTCACCTGATTGCTGTTGGCACCATACAGCAAGCCCAGGAGGGACTGAAAGACCAAGAAATAAATAGAAGGAGAATGGCAGGATATCAAATAGAAGATTTGGGGAACAAATTAAAGTTTAGAGTTTCATAACATTTCTTATAAACTGTAGCAAGTCCAAAACTCTTATTTAATTTAGATTATTCAAGAAGGATTTTGTTTAGGTTTTAAAAGACAGATAATAAAATACTGATGGCTTTATCAGCTATTTCTATGATAAGCATTATATTCACATTTTAAATAAGAATTTTTTAAAAGAAAACGATGGCACTGGAGTTAAATTCTGATATTCATTCACTTTTTCTATTTCAGTGCTACAGACAATTTATTTTAACTGCTGTTACAACTTTTCTTCCACTCTTTGCTTATAGCATTTTCTTTTCAAAGTAAAGTTTACGTAATTCCTCTTTATCTCATAAGGTTGTTTATTTTAAAAGCTAAAGAGTGATCAGTGTTTGCAACAGGATTTACTTCATGCTTTCAAACAATTTATTTTAGCATTAAAATTGTAAAAGCTGCAAGGATCTCAGATTCAGACAATAGATTACCAACTTTCGTTGACTGTCTGTGAGCTGTGACTTGGGAAACTGTTCTTCTTCATGCTCTTCTATCCCCAAGGACTTATTTCTCTTTTTCCTGTTGCTTCTTTCTTTGATTTCTTTGGCAGACAAAGGAGAGCCTTCAAAGGAGCTAATTGACAGGATATCAATCCCTTTCGCAGTCAGTGACTAAAATTAAAGCAAAAACACAGGTGGCATTTTTGCTGGTACTTACAAAATAAGTAGCAAGAAAACACTTCCGTGCTCTATATTATTTTTTCTTAACAATCTGTGTTTCATAAAAGTAGGTAAAAATCTTCCAATATGTGATAACAGTAAAAGAAAGAGGAGAGAAATTTTGCAACATATGGAGCAGCGAACAATTTGCTATTTGCAGTATGTTACATGATCGTGTGTATGGTGCCTGCCGGGGGCAAAATAATCACACTAAACTCCTATTCCTCCATATGGCATAATTACTTACAATAAAAATACTCAGCTTGAAAGTAATGCTGTAGAATATATATTTATTTCCCCAAATAAACACTCAAAGAATACTGAAATTCGGTCTTGCCACTGGGTGTCCACAGGACTGCAGTCACGCTGTGGCTCACTTGCTTTCCAATATGAATTTAGGATTGGAATGTTTTCAAAATGCAGAGCAATATTTCATTCCAGAAGCTCCTAAACTATGTAAATTACAAGTGACTTTTCACTAAAGTACAGTGGTCTTGGATGTTAATACACGTAAACACCTGAATCATTTATATTCCTCTGCTCAGCAATCCACAAGGATGAAGAAGAAGATAACCATATGTTACATTGGAAGCTGATAGTTTAAGGAATTTTATATTTTCCAGTTTTTTAGATCTCTTATAACAGATTTTAAAGATCATTATCCATGAGAAAGGTCATTGGAAAAATATGGAAAAAAAAATGCAGCAGAACTAGGAATTTCTCCTACATCTCTGAGAATCACTGCTTTTAACAACATTTCCCCTCCCACAGATAACTATCATATATGTCTGTATACAGACAGTGATGCATTTTCTTATGTGTCTAGTAACACAGCATTGAGATTAAACTTTGCAAGGATATAATTTACATACCTCCTGCTCTTTCTGTAATAATTCCATGGCTTCCCGAAATTTCCTTTCTTTTGCCTCTGTCTCAGCAATGGTGGCCTTATTTTGGTCTTCATATGCCATTGTTACTACAGCCAGAATCAAATTGACTAGATAAAACGAGCCCAGAAAGATGACCAGCATGAAGAAGAGTATATACACCTTCCCAGAAGCTCTGAGGGTCTGTAAGCACAACACCCCAGGGATAAAAATTACCATATTTAATACCAAATAGGTTTTCTGAAATTCTTTAGGGGCACTCAGATTTCTAGACAAAGTGCTTTAGGCAGATTAAGATAAATGTATCTCTCAGCCTTTTCTTCCCCATCTTTATAATACCACCGCACATGAACCTATGATCACACAACATGCCCCATGAGGATGGCTGAGGAGGCACTGTTGCATTTTGAAGGACAATAGAGAACCCTTTTAGCAATTTTCTTGAAGGCTGTAAGACAGCAGTGTAATAGGACTATAGCTTGGAAACGCTTGAACATCCCTTTTTAGGGAGTTGAGGGGGGACCACAGCTTGCTGGAAGGGAGAAGAGAGGATGAGGACACAATGACTTCTGGCTACTACTTTTATTTGAGGTTTTCTCTCTAGCCATTTTCTGCTTCAGATATTGTTCCTTCTGGATGACTGGTTCTGAATAAAACACAAAGCTGCTACCTGCTGATACAGACGTTCCCAGTAGTCCTGGGTCATCAAGCGGAATAAGGAGAGAAAAGCCCAGCCAAATGTATCAAAACTGGTGAAACCGTGATCAGGATTTGGCCCAATTTTCTTGCATGTATATTCTGGAGGACAGGTCCTAGAGGTGATAGTAAGAAGGGCAGTTCTTTTAACTGAAGGTTTTGGAGAAACACTTCAGCTCATATGAGAGTTTGGATTATTTATTTAGTTTTGCTTTTCATTATACTGAAAGCCAAACTTCTACTCCTGGCAGTAATTGGCTGGAAATTGAAGAAGGAAAAAAGCAGCACCTATAAGTCAGCAACAGAAAAAGAGTCTGGAAAAAACTGCTAAACCAGGCTGAACAAAACTTCTAACCCTGGCCAACTCCTTCATCATAATTCCCATGAGACCCTTTGTGTTTTCAACTCTAGTGCATCCATGGGGAAGAGAAAGATCGTCCTTCTGGAAGGAACTTAGACCTGAATAAGAAAGCTACACTTCATTCTCAACATTTGTTAAATTATCTGACTCCCACTGTAATTTACTGTTTGAGTTCTGCAGTCAAGGAAAGCCAGGAATCTCTACTTCATTTTCATTTCTTATAACAGAGCAAACAGAGAAGCACTGAGGCAGAGAAAAGTTCCAAACAAGAAATGTTCTGAAGTACATTTACCCAGCTCCAGGACCACATAGCAAGATGTCCGAGGTGCCCGGCTTAATGGCAAAGTGTTCTATAAACAAAAGAGAGGAAGAGAGAGACAGAGAGAATGAGAAAATGTAAAACCAATACATTTTCTAGTCTGTATCCTCTATATTTGAATAGAGGTGTTGGTAATACCAGTGAGCTGTAAGTGTATGTGCACACGTGCAAATGACTTCAAACAAATACAAAAAGAATACTGAAGGAAAAGAGATGGGTTTCCCTACACTCATAGCGACTGCTCCCTATTGCAAGGTGGCCTTTCCTCACTTATACACAAGCTTCTCTATATGCATACATTCCAGACTGAGGGAATGCCTTAAAAGCTTTTACAATATTATCTCTTTGGCACATCTATAGAAGCCAACAAAGAAGGGGAGGGTGCAGGCTCAGGAATAGCTTCACACTTGGCAACTTTTAGCCTATTCTCTTGCCCATGTCAATTGGCACTCTAAAAAAAGAGTTTGGACATTTTGGGGGATAACATAGACCATTTCTGCTTCTAAGCAATAAAAAGGAAGTCCTGCTTGGAGGAGGAAGAAAGAGTCTTTGGCAATACAGATAAAAACCATGCTTGTCAAAAAAACAGGTCCTAACCCTCAGCTGAGAAATACTGATTTGTCCATCAGGATGCTGAAGCCATGCTCTTTTTGATCTCTTCTATTTCTCTTTGCATGAGTTACTCTAATGCCTGAGCTAGCAGCAGACTGAAATGAATAGCTCAATGCTAAGGAGTAATTAGTACTATTAAGATGTGGGTTTATTATTCCAGACGTAAGGGACATCTCATCTCTTCCTGATGCTTCTCAAATCTCAGCTGGACTTATCAGATAAGTCAGTGCGATTCAGAGCCAGCATGGGAATGCTTAATATCTGTTCTACTGTACCACATAAATGCACCATGCAGGCTACTTTCTGCCCACGTTTTGTTTGGCTCTGCTCCTGCCAACTGACAATAGTTTATCAGTTGATTCAGTGACTGAGATTCGGAAGATTATAGTAATGTTTGGTGTCCATGTTGGAGTGAGAACTTCACATTAGGACAGGACCAAAACAGCCTGTAGAAAATACATCAAAAAGTCATTTAATTGAAAACTGGCCTTACAACATGGCAACTCATAAGTCTTGAAAGAAAGCTTCCATTAAATCTGTCTGGCACCTCCTGGTTTTTTTTTGTCATCATTGCAAATGATCCTGCATGGAAGGTGGAAAAGATAGGATGGGAACAAGATAAAGTTTGAGAAGCAACATAGATTATGAATCTCTTGAGGCTTGCTTTCTCTGGGCCTTTACACTGCAAATGTTCTGTCTTTTCAGATCCCTGCTCCACACTTCTGTCACCAGCTCCAGACAAGTCATACATGAAAGACATATATTTTATATACATCTTTATGTATATATATATACGGTTGCAAGCTGCTCTGGCAGTGTGAAGGGCATTATCAGGTAGCTGCTCATCCAGATATTCAACTTCATATACAACAGTAGTTACACATGCACATGCAGGTCATTACAGTGCCAGATACAGAAAGAATTAAGAAGAACAATTACCTGCATAATCAGCAAATGTTGCAAAAATGGATTCCCATGTTTTGTTATTTAAAAAATCTGTGATACTGGAATCTGTATAATTCTTCATGCATTTGTATCTCAGATTGCCCTTGAAAAGCTGGAGGCCTATGAGGGCAAAGACACTCAGGCAGAAAACGGTCAGGATCATCACATTGGCAAGTTTCTTAACAGACTGGATTAGTGCACCTACAATGACCTTGAGCCCTAGGGAGACAATATACAATGAGAAAAACATGATGAAAAACTGAGAGCTGTTAATACAAGAACATTTTTTTTGCATTTGATTGACCCAGATGTTCCATTATTCCCTTTAAGTTATCTAGGCAAGGATGAGGGACCAGGGATAGTCTGGTGGATAGCCTTCACATACACAAAGAGTAACATGCATATGCAAACTGAGAATCAATGACCAATCTGCATGCAATAATGAATGTGATCAAAAAGACCAGAAAGGGCAACACACTGGTTCTGGGTTTGCATTTAGTCATGAGAAAACAACCACTAACTTTATAACTAAGAGAAAGGTGGGAAAAAAGCAACAATAAAGCATTGTCCCAGGGATGCAGAAATATATAGCCTGTTTTGTTGCCACAGGAGTTTCTGTTGAACCATCACACATAGACTAGCTAGAAGTACACCATAAAATCAACATAATAACATGTTATCAAAATCATTACTATATAATAAAAGAAAATTAAACACAGTATTGTTTATACTGCTTGATTTATTCTACTTGGGCCACCTGGACTGGGAAAATATTTGTGCCTACCAATTAAGTTGCACCTGCAATTGGTGAAAGATACACAAAGAAAATAACAGGAAGGAAGGAAGGGATGAAGGAAGAGAGGAAGAAGGAGAAAAGAGGGGAAGGAAGGAATGAAAAAGAAGGAAAATCCAACATTTTGATTGGAGTAAATAATCAGCTGTAAACCACACAGGATTCCTTACCTGGGAGTACTGAAATGGTTTTTAAGGCTCTCAGAACCCTGAATGTCCGAAGGACCGACACGCTCCCCAGGTTGCTGAATGCTCCCACAAATCTGTAGAGTCAAGACATCTTAATTAGAGTAAACCAGACACTTATTTTAGTCTTTGTTTTTAACTTTTAATCATCCTGAGTGTATTTTGTATGTTAACAAACTACATATCAAGAGGGTTTTTTTGAGATTCATACAATAGAAAGCCTTTTCTGGATTATTTGAATTTACTCATAAGGTTTCTCTTTATTTCTGTGAAGTATCTTAAAATATTATGCACTTAAAATATAAAGAAAGATATGACTCAAAGTTATTCAGTTCAGGCTGAACCAATATGAATCTATCTCCCATATCTGCTTGTAATCACTATGAAAACTTTCTAATTATCACAAACTAAAGCTTGGAACTGTGAATTTTGAATGTAATCCACTGTGCTGGTGTCCAAATGCAGTGCTCTGTTCTCAAATGTACACTTTCATTCTCAACAGGAACTCATGTTGGACAGCTATTACACTGAAATGCATTCGAGTAAAAGGGCCGCAGAGTGGCATGAGATGGGACTGAAGAGATTAACTGCATCTTGCTCCATTCCCTTTTTGTAAGATAAGTGCATCATAGCTGAACAAGGGAAGAGTCAATGGTTATTGACTCTACATGGCTATCTGTACTAGCTGGTTTCAGATGTATCCTTTTTTTAATTGTATTTTTTTTGCACTGCAGACTGCCTTTGACACCTCAGTAATGAAATCTTTAAATATAGAGAAGTGCAGGTAGTGTCCATATTTTATTTGTTCCCACTTACGCCATTACGATCACACTGAAGTCCAACCAGTTCCAGGGATCTCGAAGGAAAGTGAATTCATTTAGACAGAAGCCTCTTGCCAATATTTTTATCAATGATTCAAAAGTGTAAATGCCAGTGAAAGTAAATCTAAGCACCAAAGGAAAACAGCAACATTAGTAATTACTGTAAGAGGATAAGAAACACAAACTATTTACTGTCAAGGCCAACAAATCAAGGAAATGTCATGGAGAAGTGATGGAAAAACTCTTATTGATTTCAGGGCCTTTATACACAGTTTGAGACAGTAGTTGACAACCATCCCACCATGGCTGCTAACACACATACCTTTTTCAGTAATTTCTTTTGAACTCTTCCAGGGAATCTCCAGAATCTGAGTAACACAGAACTTCCAGCTACTTGCTAAAATAAGGATCAAAATTCATGCCTCATTCTGGATTCAAGTAGCCCAGTAAATGTAGGATATTCAGTGTATTATTTACTTGAGGTACACTGCATCCATTTCTATACAGATGGTTAAAAAGCTTAGAGAAATGCGAAGCTAGAGGATTTTCAATTTAAGACAGCAATTATTCTTATTAATGGAAAATTATCAGTAAAAGCTCTTCTGGACTTATTGAGCACACTTATTTCAACAAGGTAGCAATCTCCCTAAGGAACTCAAAAGGCATTCATTTGGTACTCAGTAAATGCAGTAGGAAATTATACATATGTAGTACTTCCCTCTTCATTTGGAAAGAATTATTCCAAGATTATTATTGAAATACATTTGAACGGCAGTTTTGATGCCAACAGCAAGTATAACTCTTATCTAAACTTTAGTGCTCTCATAGGCAGGGAAGTGTCCTCTGGAGATACATGAATTAATACCATGAAGATTCTTGCTCCTGCTTGTCTAAGAGTTTGCCACTCCCAGTTGTTTCAGCATCAGAAATCATGAAACAGATTTTATAACTGTTTGGAATTTAATTTGGAATCTATTCCTTTATGTTGTGTTAGCACTATCATATTCTAACATTTTTATAAAGAAATTTCTAATATTTTTATAAAAAGCAAATAGCTACCAAATAACTTCAGAAAGTAGGATAATGAACTGGAGTGGTAGGACAGACATGATGCAAGCTCAACAGAACTTCTACAGAACATTATCTACGCTAACGCTCTCCTGTAACCCCATAATTACTGTGCTTACTGAGTCCAGAGACAAAAATACTGCCTCAAAGCAAAACCTTACTAACACAAGCAACAGTTTTCTAAACCCCTCATAAACTACCTTGTATGAAAGATAGAAAGTAAGCTAAATAGTCAATTAGGGCTACAAAACTGAAATACATACAGACCCACAGATACTTACTCAACATATTTGTTCCATGATGGAGATGAACTCCTAGAGGACTCATTCCGAGCCATGAACACACAATTAGTTATAATTGTGCATATTATAAACCAAGTGAATAATGTAAGACATGGGAGTGAAGGCAAAGAATACGACATAAAATTAGAAAGTTACATATCCCACTGTTTATGAAATTAATATTTTCAATACTTTTTAAAGCACACACTGCAAGCATATGTATTTACTGACTCTGAGTCACATTAGATGACAACACGCTGCCCTTGTTATTTATGCCATCTTACTTGCTTTGGAGGTACTGGGCATTGCAGACTTGGTAAAATGATCCCTAACCACTGAGACAGAGTGAGAGAAAAGATGCCTTTTTAATTTAATTTTACAGCAAAAAAATTGTTAAATAGAGACTGCCTGACTCGCCCAAGGTCTCAGCAGCAACCAGGATATTACTGGAAACTGAACCCATTTGGTATCACATAATTTCAGTTTTCCTTGCACAAGGAAGTTCGATACAAGCTTGTGTGAATAAACAAATTTTACTGTTCTGTTTCTACCCCTTGTTTCCTTTTTTACAACTTAGGCAATTGGTAGGGTTTTACCTTCAAATATATGGGAGCTTGACATTGCTGAGAGCAAAGGTTTGCTGGTAACAAATTGAAGTTCCATTGCAATGTAAGCACTGATGATAATAAAGTAGTTCCCATAGAACTCCAGTAGAAGTATGTTTATTTTTAAGTGAAATGAATAGTTCATAGAAGTTGAATAACCTCCAGCATCACTCATTCCTAAACTGTGAAATCTCTATTCTTATGTAGGGCATAAGTAGGGCAAAGTCTGCTATGATATTTGTGGATGTCTCAAAGGATATTAGATGCCAACTCTTGGTTGGCAGCTATTCTCTGGGACCTGCTGACTATAAGTTCAGAAGTAGAACACAGGCATTTAGCTCAAGTGTTGATACCTAAGATGAAGTGCCTGACTCTGGAGTTGAACCTCACGTTAAGTGTCATACTACATCTTTGGCAACCTAGGATGTAGATGAGCATGGGAAAGACATCTACTCCCTTTCGATCACCAGTGCTTTCACTCCCCAAAAAAATGCCTTGGATTTAACTGTAGGCACAGCCAAATATTGCCACAAACTCAGGAGATGGACCACAAGTGCTGAAACAACAATAACAGCGAACTTGTTACCCAAGGAAGGCCTCAGATGAGAGCCATCCAGGGATGCCTGTATCCTGCTATGACCACAACTTTGGATCTGTTTCAATATTACATGGAGGGGAGATGGCTGAAAACCTAACCTCTCTGCAGTAACATCACAGACTGCACTGGCTCTAATTTATTCTTGAGTGACAGCATTTTTGCTCCAAGCACCAAAATGGAAAAATACCCTAATGAGTCCCATTTTCCAAGTATGTGATTTGGTAGAAAGTAGAAAGTCAGGCTTCAAAACCCCGGTACTCATAAAACTCTTTATTACTAAATAGAATAAGAATGTAAAGACAATGGTAATATCTAAAGTAAACCGTAATTAGAAGTTGTGTGGAATGAGGAAAACCTAGAGACATTCACTGCTCTAAAACATAACAAGAAAGAATAACAGAGATCTTTGTAACAAAAGAGACTGAATGAAGCCAAAAAAGGATATGAATGTATTGAAATTTTAATTGCTGCTCTTCGGATGGGATGGAAAGGACTGAGGATCCATAAGGCACGTGTGGCCGTGAACCGGAAGATTGTTTTCTGTTTGTTTACCACTATGAAGATCTTAAAATTAAACGTAAAGAAACAAAGTAAAACATTCAGGAAGCTAAAGACAATTTTTTTTTTTTTTTTTTTAACTACACCTTGTTCTATGAAAGGCTTTGATGTTAGCTTCTGTTTGCTTGCTTAAATGAGTAGACCTTAATATTTTGCAGCACTTTTATCATAAATGATGAATGAGTTCATATCCATTAACTATCAATGCGAAAAAAAATCTCAGCATGAACTTCCTTTTTTAAGCCTTGTTCGTTATGAAGAACACAAAATGAATTTTGCTTATGACTATACTCTTCAGGTAAATTGGACCTCTGAATCAAACTGTACAATGGTGAAAGAAAGAGTCGCAGACTTAAATGTTATTTGTCAATATGGATAGTGATCCTCCAGCTCTAAGACTGTAGAAATTAACTCAAATTATTTCTCAATTTCTCAAGTAATAAGCTTCATTTTAATGGATTATTTCCCATTCTTCCTCTGTTTATTAAAAATTATTTTTTTCAAGCACACTTGACTAGAATATGGAGCTTGAATAAATAGGTTTAAATGGTTCACCAGCAAATGTTTTATAGTAATTTTTATATTAGGATGATCATTTATTGTGCATGTTCACCGAGCACAACTGTTGAAACAGAGAAAGAGAGTTTAAAACTATAAAAATAAAGAAAATTTCCAAAATTATTATCATTTCTGGTAAATCTGAGTCAAAACCCCATTTTCTTCCTTTGTCCATTTCACTTTAGATATTTCCATTCTGATTTAAATAGTAATGCAGTTCATGATATTTAATTCCTGTAATTAAATTTTTTTTTTCCTGAAAATTACAGCATGTCATTCAGCTATGCCAACTTCCCACACTGTTGTAACAGAGGAAGGGATTATTGGGGGTTGGACTCGATGATCTCTGGAGGTCCCTTCCAACCCCTACAATTCTGTGATTCTGTGATTATTGTTTTTCCCAAGGAGTATAACAAGATCATTTCATAGGTCATTCACGTGAACATTTTGTAGCCACATTACAAAACAAATTAAGGTATTAATGGTTTGGTTGGCTCTAACCTTGCGATCTTTGTAGTATGGGTCAAGGTCTTCCAGTGGTTCCCCAATGAGTTCTGGAGGAGGATTTCCATAGAGAGCTGGCAATTTCTGGAAAGCTTTTAGGTCAAGCTGAGGACGTGGTTTCTCCTCAGGTTTCTGGTCTAAGGTACTTTTTTGATGATCCTTCTTGGCAGCAATTCTCTTTTCAATGGCAGCCAAGGATTCTGGAGTGAATTTACGGAAGTTGTTGGTACCAGGTAGTAGGAAGTCAGCCATTTTTCATTCTTCTCTTCCTGTCAGTGATTGTATTCAGTGATAGAAAATGACTGAAAGAGAAATCAAAATTGGTAACTGGAGAACAGTTCAGTAATGAAATCTAAAACTCTTCCTCCGTGCATGCTATAAACACGCATTTCTCCGCCATCATGTTATAAAATATGTCAATGATCAGTATGTTTTTCAACGAGATGTCTGTTCAGTATTGATTTTAAATTATGTGTATCTAATTGGATGGGGGAAAACCTCTATAACTTCAAGAAGGTATTTATACCTATTAGCATGAACACTCATGTTTGGACAAACATAAGGTGCTGGCTTAATTTAGTATTTGGAACTGGGATACTAAGAACCACTGAATGCAACATCATCCAATACACGGAAGCTACTTCTGCAATAGAAAGAACACGTTTGAAAACAGCTAGTGCTGATGTAACCATTCAGATGTATAGCCCATCCTTGTGGTGCTGAGGACATCAGCACAAGGACAAGCAGTGTCCAAGTGTTGGAAGAAAAGCCTGCTGGGTGAAACATGGATAGAAATGGCAATAGACATCCTCAGCTTTCTCTGAAAAACCTTTCATTGCATAAACAGATTTGCTGCTGGATTCTGTGCAACAATATCTAGAGAAGTGCCTCTTAATGGCTGAAAAAGGTTACTCCAGCCATTCCCTTCTAAGCTACCACTTTTTCAATCCTCCTGAAGATCACTTGGAACAGAGGTTTCTGTTTTGTTTCTTCAGGATCGAAAGGTTATGTGTAGATCTGTATTAGCTTCCTGCACAGATTTTCACGAAGGGCTTACTGCTTGTTTTATGAAGCATATCCTCAGGGGCAGTGTTAGGTCACATTTATTTGGGTCACTCTGCAAATTTTAGCCATTCCTGAAAAGGCTTTGTTTACATTTTGGTAATCATTTTTGTAATTTGATTGCCACAGGAGGACGAATGAGACCTGATTTAACTTGTGACACATTGACTGACATGGACAGAAATAAGTTATCTGACAAATATCCATAAAAGCTTGGTATTTTCTACTCAAATGTTAGAACAACAACAATTAAGTGATACAAGATAAACACTTCACATGGTTTCATGAAGAATTTTCATCAGATACTAGATAAAATCCATTCACCTAAATATTGTCAGAGACTATAGCATGGCAGCACAGAAAACACCTTTGTATTTCATGGCTGTGGCTAATTTTGCATTATTTGCCTTACTACAGAGACACCTATATCTAATCCAGTCATCTTATGTTTTTTGATGAATCAAGTTGATAAAGTTTACAACAGCTGAAACCACAGAATCATAGAATGACTTGGATTCAAGGGACCCCGAGGATCATCAAATTCCAACTCCCTTACAGCAAGCAGAGTTGCCAATGGGTATATATGATGAAGAAACCCATCCATTAAGAAATAAAATAGCCTACAGAGCAGTTTGATTTTTGGGGGGATCAATTGAGAGCTTGAAGACACTGCAAAAAACCTCAAAGAAAGCCCAGGAAGTCCACATAAATTGACGGTGAAAAAAAATTGAAAATGATACAAACTGTAGGAGGATCCAGACCTTGTGCTAAAAGCTCTGCAAGGAGATTTCTTCAAGGTTTTTTTTTCTCATTGAGTATGACCTCTGGGACGAGGGCCAAGTCTTTCCATCCACCTTCACTTCAACACAGCCTTCAATATTGACTATATAAGTAGCAGTCTGAGCTCATTTTAAAAGTTTAGATTACAATCTATGCTCCTGTAGCCTTCCTTTCCAGTACGTGGAACATCCCAGGATAACACCAAATCTGAATCAAGAGGCTTTATTTTAATGCTAATAAATTATTTTCCACCTGTGTGCTGACTCCCCAGCAACACAACACAATTTCAGTTCTCAACAGACACAATGTGATTTCAGTTGTCCTCAAAACTGTGGAACCATTGCTGCAAAAACAGCTGAAAGACAGTGATGAACTAATCATGGTGAATGCTCTTAATTCTTCCAGGCTTCCCACCTGTCTGATTTAAATAAGCATACAAAATAACGAATACAAAAATTACTTACCACAAAATAGCAACCTTTCTGGAAGACGAAAAGGGCATTTGGTAAAAAATATTCATTATTTTAGGCTTCTTCAATCTAGAAAAATATCCAGAAGCTGCCTGTTATAGTTCAGCAAAAATGAAAACTACACTATTCACTCTCAAACTTTTGAGACACTTAGCCAAAGTAGCTTCATTTTGTCGATACTCACAGTAATTTAGATGCTGATGGTGTCAATAATGAGAGCTGTGAATGATGCATGAAATGACACCATTTGTGCACAATGCATGGAAGGAATACAATAGTTGCTGTATACTGCATTGTGCCAAATAATCCACACATAACCAACCCTCCACATGGTACTTCCATAAAAGCCTACCTGATTGCAGAAGTTAGAAGTTCACCATTAAAGTTCTGGTCCTGTTGCAGATTTCTTAAGCTCTCTCTCCTTTCTTCCGTTAAGTTTTCTTTCAAATCCCTGAAAGTAACCTTTGATCGCCACACTGTTCTCCCCCAGGACTACTCTAAGGCATAACAAAATCCTAGCACCCAAAGTGGTGCTGGGATAAGGGCTGGAGAAGGCATGGAGACAGGTAGAGTCTGTAGAGCCTCAGCCAGAGCTGGAAATCAGGCAAGGGATTCTCCTTCCTGGTGCAGGTGGTTTTACAAATTGCTCCACGGGTGAACAACCATTAAGGAAAGGAAATGGAGGCTTTCCTTTGCTGTTTCACACATGAGCAGTAAAAACTTGCACTGATAGCAGCCACATGCTTTGGAGAGACTGAATTGAACTTTTTGTTCACAGGCAATTGTGAGCTAATCAGCCTATTCCTATTCCTGAATAAAACATAATGAATATTAAACGTGGAGTAATCTAAAAAACCTGTTCCAGCTACATTCCTAGTTTCTGTTGCTCTTGTCTCAGAGAGTATACAGCTGATTTTAATTTTATATATGAACAAAGCATGATTTATCAATTTGACCACAGTAAAAGGTTTTAATGTAAATCTGTTTTTGTTCATGAAGCAATAAAGCATTGTTTTCATCTTTTCTCAAGAGGTGTATCATCGGAGAACAGTGTGAAGCTTAAGGTCTCTTTAAAATAAAGCATTCTTACTCTTCAACAGACTGAATTTCTGAGCACCCTGAATGAAATCAACAAGCTGAAGAAGAGAACCATAGAAATTGTTGATTATTTGGCTTTTTGGATTTCAAAGGTACTCCCTATGAAGTGTTTTTCAAAGAGCAAATGTGTAGCCAGAGAGCTTTCTGAACTAAAATTCCTTTCTTCCAAGTGTCTTTTCCAATTTAGAAATATTCATTTTGACGGGCAAGGAAACAAGATTATTATCAGAGACATTTTCTCTCCTTTTCCTGCAATTACAATCACTCCAACTCAATCCTCAGTTAATAAATAAATGTTGCTTCCAATTATTAGATTTCCTGGATTCATGAGCTGTTACGGAAAGATGTGAAAACATATTGACAATTACTGTGATCTCAATGGCCAGGGTAATTAATACAATCACAACTTCCAGAATTACATTATTACACTGTTCACAATTGTGAACAGTTAGGGACTCTAGACAGAACAAACTGCTTGTACTCCCCATAATTATATGAAGAGCCAAGAACATCAGTATGGACCTTGGAAAGAGATGCCAGCTGCATCTCCTGAAGTTACCACTGTAGCTTTGGGCTCTGCTGCATCTTTCTAGGTCTGAATTTCCTGTATGTAACATAAAACTTTCTAGAACTGTATAAGGAAATATTTAATTAACAGCAGTTCAAAGCTTCTGTAGAACAGTTCCATATTACCCTCAAAAACTTTTCTATATTTTTGCAAGGAGAATAATTAAATCACACCAAATTGGAATTATTTTAGTGATCTTTTATACATGTATGTAATAGCTTTTGTTTATCAGCACATTATTTTTTAATCACAGAATTATTCAGGTTGGAAGGCACCTTGGGAAGACTCCAGTCAAATCTGCTCAAAGATGGATCAGTCAAAAGGGAAGGGCTTTATCCAGCGAAATCTCCAAGGTCTGAGACTGCACAAGTTCTTTGTGCAACATGTTTCTGCTCTTGGCTGTCTTAATCTATTTAGACCCCTCTTTGTCTCAGCTTATGCCCCTTGCTTCCTAAACCACTATAATAATAACAAAACAACAAAAATATTTGAAATATTGCATTAATTTGAAAGGTAAATAAAAATAAACAACAACAACAAAGACATCTGTACGTTTGTAAAACAAATACTACTTCAGCTTCACCCCATTTTGCCTAGCTGTTTACAACAGACAACTGGAAATGCCCCATCTCTGAATAATACCATCCGAGTAGCTCCATTGAGGTTGCCAAGGGTAATGATAGCATATATCCTTATTAGTTTCCCACTTTTACATTATCACACTTTACCTGAACCAGGTTAAATCCCAAATTTTTTTACCCTCTATAGGCATGCTGGCTGAGAACTCCAGCCTGCTGAGTGTCTCAGTGTGACATCAGACTGAAAGGAGATGGCAACAGCTGATCTAGCTACTCTATACCCTCTTTGTAATCATCAAAGCTGAGGGCACAGATAAGCTAATCGTAAGTAAGCATTCAGGTTAGGCAAAATTTAGGCTGAAAATTCTCCTGATTTTTTTCTGTTGCCTATAAAACTTAATGTGAGATAAACCCTACTCTCACTCCAGAATTTCCCAGTTCCCAGTTCTCAGCACTAGTGAATGAAGGTACCAAACAGTGTAGAAATGCACAGAATAATTTAAGAAGACCTGATTAAGGCTGTTAGCATCCACCAGAATGCCCCTTGGGTAGGATTTGTCTCACCTCATTGCAGATATCTCAGAATCATACTGAAACACCTCCACCACCTCTCCACCTGCCTGCTTTGACACCTGTATTTCAGGTGATTGAATCCCATGGCATCAGCACTGACTGACTGCTACTGACTACCTGAGA